GCCGCCTCCGCCGCCCGGCCTTCCCTTACCGTAGCTGCTTCGCCCTAGGGCTGCGGGCAGCGTGCTGGTTCCTGCCCGGCCGGCGGGAGAGCTGCGGGACTGCCCGGATACGAGTGTGCTTTGGGGGTCGGTAGGGAATAGTGGGGGCAGAAGGCACGGGGAAAATCACACCTAGTCATTTCGAGTAGTACTCGAATCCACTGGGTACTACTGGTCAGCAAGTCTGAGTTTTGGCAGTGATTTGATAGCCGAGAAAGTTTGGGATCCTGTGTTTTAGTTAAATGGGTGTGAAGATATCTATTCAAATAAAAATAAGAAAACTAGTAACCCTTCCAGGCGTGTTTATCTCTTTGTATTTATTTATTCAACAGCTGTGGAGAGCTGAAATAGATTTGTTTTGTTTTGTTTATAATGGTAAGAGAAAGGTGATTATAACGCTATCTTTCTACGCTTGTCCTTTTTTTGATTAATTGTTTTCAATTTTTTTGCTGTCTCTTGATCAGTGTTGATATTTAATGAAGACTGACAAAATGCAAGATGCCTTGTGCTCCTTATAGTTATGCAACTTGTTCCAGTCACAGCACAATTTCAAAGACTTCTTTATCTCAGCTAGGGGTTGGTTAATTATAGTTCGATATTGGGTGCAAAAAGCAAAAGATATTTGGTGTAGTTAGGAAAGGGAAGGAGACCAGATTATATTTAATGAATGGGTAATGCTACTAAAAATAAAATTAATTATGGTTAAGTGTAAGACAATGATTTCTTAGTAGCAGGAACTTTTATAGGTGTAGGAGCTGTCACAGAAAATAATGGCACCTTAGCCACAAACTAAGCCTTCAGGAAATGAATCCTTCTGTGGTAGAGAAAATAATCCATTGATGCTAGAATGCTTCTGTATAGAAGCTTTCTTTTTAAATCATCTTCATCATCTTAGCAAGCTGTTAATGCCAGTATAGCTATTTAATATGCATCAGCATTTTTCAGTGTTCTGTTGCAGAATCAGCAGAGAATACTTTATTACATTTACTGGTAGTGAAACCATATCTGGTTTGTAATTGTGTAGTACAGCTAGTAAAGACCATTGGTGCAGAAGTAAAAGGTATTTGGATTTGAGGTGGACATGGAAACTCCAAAAGTGAAAAAAAAAGTAAAATGAAGAATTAACCACACACACAATGAGAAAACTTTTAAAATACAGTATGGCTTGGACCGAGTAAATTAGTTTTTCTTATGTTTTTCATCACCTCACATGATGAAATTTGTGTAAGTGAATCATCTTTTAGTGGGAATATATACTTGCAGTACTGGAGCCAAGAAATTATTTCAGCTCCATAGTGGGTGGTTTGACCTACTCTGATAGAAGAGTTAGGCATCCATGTTAAATCACAGCTTTGATAACAGTGTGCCCTTGCAAAGACCTAATAGAAAAACTGCACCGTGGAAAGCCTAATGGAATGTTATTTAAAGTATACAAGAAATCGTGTACAGACCCAGCATGCTAAGTACAGACGGAGTAGCAGAGTCTGAGGGCTGTATTTTCAGCTTATGCCTCACATGTAGCTTTTGTTCATTTATTCTTTGGAGTAAGCATGCAGTTTCTGCTGTTGCATTTCTGGAACACTGAGTGGTGTTAAGTGTTATTTTAGAGACGCTTTTTTTGCATCAGTGAAGCCACCAAAGCTATTTTACGTAGTTACTCTAAATAGAAGAAGATAATTTTGTTACTGTTTCAATGTAGCAAAAAGCCCTAAAGGTTTGACATTTAAATGCGAGATTCTGTTACTGACTTTTTAAGTTATAAAATGCAAGCTAGACCTGTGTGGTTTGTATTTCAACTGACTTGTGCTAGTTGCATTTAACAAATTGAAACTAAACCACCAGCTAAACCAGTGTCTTCATCTCACCCATTTTAAATTGCATTACATTTTGGTCCTTTTTTGTACCAGAGTAACCTAGAACGTCCCAAGTGTTAGTTGAACTGCTTGGTTGCCAGCAAATTCTTTTTGGATGGGAGATCTTTCATCTGGCCTGCAACATGTGTTCTAACTTTGTATCAGAACTGCCTGTGTTCTTCTAGTTAATCCTTCAGAACCACATGAAGAGAAGGCTGGAGGCCATTAACTTCCCGTGTAGTGAAGAGTATTTCGTAGTAGTCCCATGCCTCTTGATCTGGTAGTGAAAACCTTGCAGAAGAAGGTTTTCACAAAAACCTTGCAGAAGAAGGTTTTCACAATAAAACTTCTCTTGTTATATTTATCCTGTTTTAGGATCTCAGTAAGATGAAAGGAGAATCCAAGCATATTTTGTATTTTTTGTCCTCTTGTCTTCCTAAATATCTCTTGCCTTCTAGATCAGATTCAAGCCCAGTCATTTAAATCTCAGCTGTGCATCTAAGTTGTTTCATATTGGTATTAAACCTTAGAGTGGCATTTTTAAGAGTAGATGAAGTTTAAGGTTTTGTTGGAAAGGCAAAACAGAAATAAAATGAGGATCTCTCTGTCCATAAACACTTGTAAATCAGCAGAAAGAATGTTCAGTTTAACTCAAAATAAAAATAAACAAAGGTTAGCATGTAGGCAATACAAATTAGGACATTAGCAGAGCCTCAGAAGCTGAATTAAAATGCTATTTTTAAGTGGCTATGCTACTGGTTTGTATATATCTCTGCTGATTGTGTGAACTGTACATAATATTCTAAACAGTTTAGAACCTTCACCTTTATTAATCACCTTATTAGTGATTAATAAAGTTTATGTCTCTAGAGTAAATAAATATCCAGTATTGCCTGATTATGTAAATTGGCATAACATGTTGTTATTAATGCCTTTTAATCCACGAAAGTACCACTACTCAGAGAAGAAAAATATTTAAATGTGTGTTTAAGTTTATAAAGTTTGATAGTCACATGCGTCTAATGGCCAAAAACATATTTGTTTCCGCAAGGGTCTTTTAATCTAAGGTGGCAGATAGTTAATTATGGAGTAAGGGTCTTTTAATCTAAGGTGGCAGATAGTTAATTATGGAGTGCTAAATAGCTTCTGCGTGTTTTCAGGATTGCAACTGTATTCTTGCCAAGATACACACTTGCCATTTTTTTCTAAATTTTAATGGACAGAAAACGGCTTTTGCAGTCCCAAATTTCCCAGATAAGAATACTCTTAGAACATTGCTATGCATTTTTTATGACAGAGGTTTTCTTATTCAGACTACTGTATCTTGAAGCATGTAGTGTGCTAAACTGTCTGTAGTGTCATGGATTTAGTATCAATAGCTGAGAAATATTTTGTTTTCTAAACTTGTAAAAGTGCTTTCGCTCTTGATTTTCTGTCAGTGCATTTTTTCACTTTTGTGGGACTTTCTTACATTTCACTCTTGTCTGTTATTCTTGAAGTGTGGGTGAACTATTAGATGGATCTCAAGAAGCTGGAAGAGGAAAACTGTGTGCCTTATGAACCAAATGGGCTTGAGAATTCTGGTTCTCTTCTGCCCTTTCCACTTAATGTCTCTGCACAAACATGAAAATGGTACAGTGCAAAGTGCATATTTTTGTGCCAAACAGCCTAAGAAATTTAGTCCAATGATAGGCTGTTTTGCACAGCCTGGTTATTCTTTTTTTTTTACAGTTGACTCTCATGACTACTGTGCAGTTTCTGACTCTCAAGGCTTACCTGCTGCTTATTGTTTTCAGCTGTATATTCTTCACGGCATGGTCAGATACTGTTGTAAATTAAAGCATCCAACAGAAGTCTTTGTAATAAAATATGTGAAGTACATGTCTGTCCTGATTTCATCCAGTCAGATGGTAGCTCTGTGGCTGTGCAGTAAACCAGAACGTGGCAGTAATACAGCTCAAGGGTTGGTTAAGGTATCTGAGGGGGCAGTATTAGAAGCTGTGAAAGTAGCAGGTAGGTGAGATGAAAAAATAACTTGAGGGATGGTCATTCTCTTTGCATGTTTAGGACTAGGCAGTGATGTGGTTCTCCCTCAAAGCAAGTCTATTTTAACAAAGAAATTGTTAGGCAGCATTTTGCAGGTTTTTATCAAATACATTCAGCACTGGGAGTGAAGTAGTGACACTTGCAAGACCATACTTGGGTTGATCGACACGTCAGTTGGGT